CTTTCAGGGACATGTTGTTGTTGTTGTTGCTGTTAGGTGCCATCGAGTAATAGACGACTCACAGCGACCCTATGAAAGGAAGACCTGAGCACTTTCCATAGATTTTCCGGAGGCAAGCCATTTCGGAAGTGAATGCCACTCCTGCTTCCAAGCTTGTTTTAATCAGGAAGCTCCACCAAACACTGCCCACCACGGGTAACCATTATCACATTTGGCACATCAGTGTCACAGTGTTTAGCATCACTGCAAGCAAGAGTCGAATTACCTCTGTACAGCAATGCACAGACCAGTGCTGTGCTAAACCACCTACAAGAATGTTTGGCAGAAAAACAATTTGAACCGGGCCTGAGTGCTGGGGATTAAAATCACCCACCTCGGGCTTGGTAGCTTAACTTTCTGTCCACTAGGCCAACAATAGCTCTCTCTATGTAGTTCTAGGTTGTCATTGTTATTGTTTTTAGGTGCCATTGAATCGTAGATGACTCATGGATACCCTATGAATGGATAAGGAAGCTTCACCTTACATACTTTGGACATGTTGTTGTTGTTGATTGCCTTCGAGTTGAGCACAACTCATAGCGACTCTATGAACAAAAGGCCTGATGCCCCTCTACAATTATTGACATTTATCATAGTTCATAGAGTTTCCAGAGGCATGTTGTTTAGGATGCCACTCCTGCTTCCAAGGACATGTTGATAGGAGAGACTATTCCTTGCAAAGGGTCATCATGTTTGAAAAGGTGGAAGGTGAGTAAAGGAGATGAAGACCCTTAATGAGATGGGTTGACAGGGAGGCTGTAACAACAGGCTCAAAGATGATGGTACAGGACAACGTTCATACGGTCACTATTAAGTTGTACTCGACTGAATGGTACCTAACATCCACAACTAACTCAGTAGCAAGTGTTTAGGACTTTGGGTTTAGAGTGGAACAAATGGTAAAATTGTTCTGTCCAGCCGTATCTCTGAAGACAAGCCTCCCGTATCTGCTCCTAAAAGGCAGCAACCAACTTTGAAAATCCTACGCAATGATTCTATTCTGTACACACGGCATTTCCAGGAGTCAGAACGAACTTTGAGGCAAGGGCAATAAAGCAGTGACAGTTCCTTATTGAAAAGTTTAACTCGATCCAAGCCATCATTTCTACTAGGGGTTTATCTCAAGCAACGTGCTCCAATGATCGCTCTGGTTGACTCCAGAGCTGGCTCCCTCAGTCCAGCACACAAATTTCACTTCCCCGCTTTGCGTTGGACTGACTTTCCAATCGTCAGGCACGATTTTGTGTGCACGGGAAACCGTGGCCTCGAGGTGCACAGTCGGGGCGTAGCCGAGCTGTTCAAACCAGCGAATCCGCGTCCACTCAGTCCCTCCACCGCGGCTTCATCTGATGTGCCCCGGGGTTTACAAGAATTCTCGGGTCCCCGTCCCGGTCTGTGAGGTCCCTTC